TTTTTTTTGGGGGGGGGGTAATTGTTTTTTGTTTTAAGGTTTCCTTTTGGGTTTTAAAGGGGGGGGTGGGGGGGTTTTTTTTTTTTTCCAAAAAAAAAAAAAAAAAAACCTTTTTTTTTTTTTTGGAATTTGAAAAGGGGGGGAATTTGGGAATAGGTTTTTTTTTTTTTTTGGGGGAATTTAGGGGCCTTTTTTTGGGTTTTTTTTTTTTTTTTTGCCATTTTTGAAAGGGGGGTTTTGGTTTTTTTTTTTTAATTTTTTAATTTTTTTTTTTTTTAAAGGGCCAATTCCAATTGGGGTTTTGGGGTTTTTTTCCCCCTTTTTAAGGTTAAAAATTTGGGTTTTTTTTTCCCGGGGGGGGGGGTTCCCGGTTCCTTTTTAGGTTTTTGATTTTTTTGGGGGGGGGGGGCGGCTTTTTAAGGTTTAAAATTTGCCCTTTCCCTGGGGTTTTGGGGGGGGGAAGGGGGGAACCAGGTTTTTTTTCCATTTTGGGGATATTTTTTTTTTTTTGGGTTTCGGAAATTTTTGGGGGGGTTGGATTGGAATTTTTTTTTTTAAAAAATGGATTTTTGGTTTTCGGTTTGGTTTTATTTTTGGTTTTCCCCCCCCCCCCCCCCCCCCCCCCCCCCCCCCGAAAAATACATCTAGGATTGTGTTACAATGTCAAGTATTACGACAACCTTTTTTGTTTCTGGAAAACATAGCTATAAGATAAATGAATAAATTACAACTTTTTTCGAAAAAAAAAATGCAAAATCACAATGAGTTGAATTATATTTTCGGAACTTGCGTTCCGAAAAAAATAATTGTGGCCTTGGAGATTTAGGCAACAAGTAGACAAATTAAAAAGTGCTCTTTCTTCTTTAATATTATTATTAAGCTCAAACGTATCAGAAATAAAATTCCGTATACAATAATTTTCTGCAAGCGCCCTTTAATTTTCGACAACGGTAGCGAATTTAAGTTAATATTGTTTATTAGTAATCATACTAGAGGCTATAGACGATGATGTACTTAATAGCTTCATATAGATCGATCGATCACCTTCATACATTTTCAAATCAAGCTTCACTGATTTGGCCGTTACGTTATGCCAACCGAACAAGCTAATGCCTTCAAAGAGACAGCGTTGAGATCCCGGGCATCTACGCATAATATTGTAGAAAAAGTATCTCGATTTCAGAAATCGATCACTAATCAACCATCGTAGTAAACGATTAGCTTACACAAAACACATAATTGAAAAAAAACACATAAAAAACAGAGATCAAATATTCAGACAATTTTCACAGGATACATATCAATGCAATCCTCCCAAGCACCATTTTCAGATGGCTCGACATTCCGAAGCGCCTCCCAAACTGCACTGTTGCACTTAAAACCACTCCCGAACGCAATCTGCCAAACCCTATTCCCTTTCTTCATCCTTCTTTTCGCCTCTATATAAGCCAACTCGTACCAGATCGAACTCGAAGAAGTGTTCCCGAATCTGTGAAGAGTCATTCTAGAAGCTTCCACGTGTACCTCCTCCAGATCCAGATTCTTCTCCAGCTCGTCTATCACCGCCCTTCCTCCGGCGTGTATGCAGAAGTGTTCCACCGCCAATTTGAAATCAGGAATATAACCCCTTTTTATTATTTTTTTATTATTAGGCAGCAGTTTATTGAACACCAGATTGGCGAAGAAGAGAAGCTGCTCGCTGATTGGGAGAACGAGTGGGCCCAGGGTTGTTATGTTTGTTTTGAGGGCCCCACCGGCGATGGCCATTAAATTTTTGGACAGATTTACCCCTGTCTTCCCTTCTTCGTCTTCTTCCTGGTACACGCACCGGTAGGCTTTGTCGTTGGCGCCTCTGTGAGTTCTGACGATGTGGAGGAGTTTGTATTTGGCGGTTTTTCTGTCGGAGGATTTGTTGGACAGCAGCACGGCGGCGCCGCCGACTCTGAAGAGGCAATTGGGGATCAGCATCGATTTTTGTGTCCCTCTGTAGGAATTGTGGGTGATGTTCTCCGTCGAAACGACGACGGCGTATGTGTTTCTGTGGATCTGGAGTAAGTCCTTGGCTAAATCGACGGCGATTACTCCGGCGCTGCACCCCATCCCGCCCAAATTTAAGCTCCTGATATTACCCCTCAATTTGTACTTATTTACGATCGTGGCAGATAGAGACGGCGTCGGATTGAACAGGCTCGAATTCACCACCAGAATGCCTATTTCCTTGGGGTTGATTTTGGTGTTGGCGAATAGATTATCCAGTGCGCCGAAGATCACCTGCTCCGACTCCTTCCTGGCGGCGTTCATCGTCGGCCGCCGGATGGGAGGAAGCACATGCATCGATTCCGGGAGACACGTGTCGTCGCCGAGTCCGGAACGTTCGAGAATCTTCCGCTGGAACTCGAGCGAAGATTCGTCGAAGCAGCCGGCGATCCGCATTCGGTCCAGGAACATTTGACCGGGCATTTTGAGACTGTTCGGCGGGCGGTAGCAGGAGTGGTCAACCAGGTAAACGGGTCGGGTTCGGGTCAGGATGTAGAAGGTGGATCCGAATACGAGGAGTGCGGAGCACGTGACGATGGTGGCGAGATTGTACTGCAGATGGAGGCACAGACGGCGTAAGTCGTCGGGAGTTGTGTGCATGGCTTTGAAGATGACGGCGGCAGTTAACGGCGTCAAGGAGAGGGTTAGTAGGTTTGAGATCAAGTAGTGGTAACCCAGCTTGACGTACTTTAAGTTGACGCTGAGGAGGAAGTCTGGGAGTTTGTAGCTCTGGTGGACCTGGACGCCGACGCCGACGGCGGTGGAGGCGGCGGCGCCGTGAGCGGTGGTGAGTTTCTGGGCGGCGCTGCTTCCACTTTCCATCGTGAGGAATCAGATGTGTGGGGGTAAATTTGAAGATAGAAAATGGGGATTATATAAAAGTAACTAGTTGGTTACTTGGTCCCCACTGATTATTTTCGATATTGTTACCCCCCTGTAAGTTGTATTTGAAAACTTATAAAACAATATAGTATTTAAAAATTGTATTTATTTGGCCAATTTGGCTTTATAGAATTCAATAAATATAGCCTCGTTTAAATAATAATTTATTCTGATTTTAACTCGATAAACACGTACTAAATTATTAATTTGATAATTTAATATTTTGCTACATTAATTAGTCGCAGCTGTATTAACTTATAGAGATATAAATGTATTTATTTTGTCAAAATTTGAACCATCGATATGATTATTTGAAGGTGTGACAGTTTGGACAAAACTCGATTATATGT